CTAAACTGGAGAATGGGCTTGCAAAGAGATTGTGTGTCTGTGAACTCTATATTAGTATACAGATAAAGTGTGTAGGTGCCTTTTCTTTGCAAGTGGGATTTAAAATGTTCATCAGATTCTTAGAAGGAACAAGCTCCCCCCAAAGGGTTAACTGAACTAAGTTACGTGCCCAAGGTCACATAGCTGCTAAAACTGGGATTTAGTTTCTGTCTTCTTATTTCGTATTCTTCCTAAGATACCTCAAAAAGTAATATTAAACAAATAAAAAAAATCCACCTGAAAGCCATTTATATATCACTTGTTCTTTGGAAAAATTCACTTTGACAGAAGTCTCAGAACACAGTTGAAGACCTCTGGCTCTAAGATTTCTATCATAAGTGTTTCACGATGTATATTTCAAAATTCCTAGACAGTCATCCCAGCCAAAAAGGCAGTTTTTGAATTAGGTTGATATGTATAGGCTCGGCCATTATGATTCAAAGGTGGCTACAGTCTTAAGTGACCTATTGGAGAGGAGAGGCTTCTTGAGTCCAACTGATTCATATGTTAAAATTTTGGCTCTGCCAGTAACTAGCTAATGATTATAAACAAGTTACTTGACTTTTTAAAGTTTAAGTTTCCTTGTCTATTAAATTGGATGATAACAACTAGCTTTTGAGGTTGTTCTGAACACTATAAATAACAACTATACATGATTTTATACACTGTATATAAAAATCTATGACATGATGCCCAACACATGGTAAATACCAAGACAGTCATGTCTATCATAACATCTTGTCTTTGTTGTCGAATTTAAAAGGAGGGTTTTAAATTTTGCTCTATATTTAGGCCTGGCCAACGATTTAAAAAAATTCCATGTCAACATGAATTTTAAAGTGAAATGTTAATTATAATCCTACTAATAGAAATGTAGTACTGGCAGCAGTGAAGAGTAATTCTATTTTACAAAAAAAACAAGTTTTTTTATCTAGGACTGTAATAGTTAGATTGAATTTTTGATAGTTACAAGGCAGTACAATTAATAATCTACCACTAATTGATATTCCTGAGTTTATAAGAAGTTGAAGATATATAAAAAGATATTTGCGCTAAGTAGATCACCTGTGAAGGACAGATGTAACGTTCCGCAACTGTAGGACTCTGATGCATTTGGGTCCCTGATGATTCCCCCTTTTGTGTCACTGCCTCAGAAAACATTATGAGGCCATAATGAGGGAAATGAAATATTTAATGTGAAGTTTGTGTTATCCATGATACCAAATGATAAAATGGACTTTTTAGGTAAAAAGGCAAGGCTGGGTGTTCGGATCCATGCTAAGCTACTTAGTTACAGTCACATCCTGTATCAGGAAAGCAGTGTGAGTGATGTGGGCCTATGGAAGCCTGGACTGAGGAATCAGAAGAGCTCAATTCTAATTTAAGCTATATTAATTGTTCACCTTTTACACTGAGAGAGTCAGGGCTGATTCTCTGTTTGAGCTCCAGTTTTCTCATCTCTAAACATGGATACCTATCTGTATCAAAATATTTATAGTGTTGCTTCATCAGACTGTTGTGAGTACAGTAAATAAGATAGTTGATATGAATATTAGCACTGGGTAAATTGATACTCAGAGAAGTCAAGGTTACATTAACTACTTAGTGACAGAGCTGTGACCCAAACTTGCTTTTCATCTTTTGGTTTGTCCATTTCTCTTTTTGTAGTTTAATAAAAGTATACTTTCTGGACAACTTTGGCATCTATAAGATTAAGCATATTATTTTATTCACATATAAATATTAGTTTCCATTTAGTCTTCTTTGACAACATTTATCTTAAATCATTAAAATAAATCCCATCATCCCTTTTTTTCAGGAATTACTATTTTCTCTTAAGAACTGTTTAAACATGTTGGGATCCCAACAGTAACTGCATTGGTCAGAAATTCAATTATATTTTCATACTGCTTACTCTCTAATTCAACAATTGTGAGCATTTTGTAATTAGGACCCTCTTGAATCTATTCTGCGTTTTTCCCCAGCATACATAAAATAATTGTAATTCGGAAACACATCATGAAGTGTCACTATTTTCAAGGGGTTCAGTAAGCACGTTGGTGCCCATACACAATTCCTGATTCTTTTAAGTTTTTCCCTTGTCATCCTTCAGTGGAAGTATGTTAAAAGTTTTGCTCTGTTAAACCAAGATAAAGACAACACGAGTCACTGTGGCAACACCCAGTTTTTTCTTTAATGTCATCAGATCACTCTGCAAAGTAATATGAAGAGAGTGATCAGAACCACTGAGAGAAGGACAACAACAAAAACGCCCCAAATAAAACACTTAACCACAGTCATGTAAGTTATCACCACGGGTAGAACCTAAAACAAGCACATTACATTTTATAAATTGTGCATGAAGTCACTTAACATTTTAATATACTTTAAAAATCTGGCTCTGTGTTATCAAAGCTCCCTTTATAGGAGAAGCCTCAGTTAGTGCTTCTGTGGTTCCTGTTGCTGTTATTTTTTCTGTGCTTAAGATATAGGATGATTGCTTTTCCCCTTAAATATCTGCTGGCTAGGGCTTAGTCAAAGATAAAATGCTGTTCATGGTTGTAATCTAGATTAAAGCTCTCTGTATAGCCCATAAACTTCAATTAAATGCTTCTAACCTTTTGCATAACACTTAAAATTGAAAAACTTTTGGTTTCTAGGTCATCTCTAGATTTAGGGTGTATTTGTGGGCACAGAGCTATAAAAAGGCAGGTTTTAGTCTGATTCAACTGCTTTGGCTCTTATACTGTAAAAATAGCATAGGAATGAAATGTACATAGTTTCCAACTATCATAATAAAGGTACAAGGAGGAACATTCTTTGTCCTTCGACATACTTTACTGTTAAGATGGTGGAAAATAACAGGTTAAGGAAAATAATGACAAAGCGTCCTTCGACATACTTTACTGTTAAGATGGTGGAAAATAACAGGTTAAGGAAAATAATGACAAAGCAGGCAAAAGTACAAGGAAGTGGTAGTACCGAATGACCTAATTCTGAGTGGAAACGATGCTACAATACAGCAAAGGCAGAATGACAAGTGCTCTAGCCAAGATCATGCCAACTGGGTTCTCAATTTACATTCATTTATTTTATTTTTATAATTTACCTTGCTTCACTAATGACAAAAAAGATTTTTCTCCTCTGTGTGTGACTTGGTTTAGTTTCTTATTTACTATGGATATGATTTAAGAGACTTGAGACAAGAAATTGCTACTATAGTTTTTTTACATTTTAAGATGGGAAATAGGTAAAATGTAAACCCCATATGCTAATCATCCACATATACCATTTACAGTTTTTAAACAGGACCTCAAAAGAAGCAACTACCTATTTGACACTATCCTGCTTGAATTAGCATTGGGGAAACTTTGATAAAACTGATCAATTTTTTCAATATGGAAAAAAGTTAACTCCTGAACACCTAGCATCTTTAATTGGCTCAAAAAGGGATTAAGCCATTTTCCAACATCAAAAGTAAAACCGATTGTGAGAATTTTACAAAATATATCTATGCCACATAATACCATTTTGAGAAACGGAGACTGAGGTATGGACTTGCTCAAATGCCGAAAGGTCGTTCTTATTCCTCCAAAATTGGAATTCAATGTGTTGTTGCCTTTGGTGCTGACTGGGAAAGCTTCTAAGCAGAGTCTCACTTTCAAATTAACTTTGGATACTAGGGAGGCAGGTAGGACTTGGTCAGAGTTATGGGATAAAGTGGTGGTCATCACAGATTTCGGAAGCAGAAAAAAGGGAAAGGTACTTGAACAACTATAGATGAAAATGTTTCAACTGTTAAGGTACTAAAAAGGTCCGGGTCTGAAGCTGGTATTATTTAATGTTTTATAAAACATCTGGAAGAGGGTAAGCAGTGAACTTTCAAGTATGAAAAAGCCACAAAGCTCTTCTGAATGCCAGTGAGGATGAATGTGGTACGTGGCAGTTGGTAGTCCAGGTTAGGACTTAAGTGACATTGTAAACTACGTTCTAAGGAAAGCAATCCAATGCACTACCATGGCCATAAAAGACTAACAAAATGCTGAGTCTGAACATGAGCTCCTAAGTGTCTTTAATATGCCATGTGAGAAGGATTTATTATTGGAAAGGGGTGAATGGATAATACTCTCATGAATCCTTCAGAGAAGCTAGGTATATTTGAGGAATAATCCCCATCTTCTAGGAGCAATCATTTCTTCTGGAATAAACTCCTTACTACTGCAATTGTGAGAGAGATTACCAAGCAGTCCACAAATTAGATGAGCTAGACATTTCTAATGTGCTTAATTTTTATTAATCGTCACATCACCACTCCTAACTTTTTGGCCGTTCCTAGTGGTTATCCAGAGTTATTGACAAACAAACCCGTCACCATTTTTAAGTAACAGTCTATGGGCATCTTCCGACAATCACCTGTTTATTCATAACCATCAGCAACCATCAGTAAAATGTGGAACCTCAATTTGCTTCCCCTATATAAACATGAACTGCATTATGAAATCTTTCATCCAGGGTAGAAGCAAGAAGGTAATGAGGAATGCCCTTGTGTTACATGGTGTCAAGGATATTGTGTGCTCAAGGATTGGTATATTTGTATGAGAAAGAAAAAGTGAGAACAAGCAGCACCTAAATCTTTTTGTTGTTGTTGCGTTACGCGGGCCTCTCACTGTTGTGGCCTCTCCCATTGAGGAGCACAGGCTCCAGATGCGCAGGCCCAGCGGCCATGGCTCACGGGCCCAGCCGCTCCGCGGCATGTGGGATCCTCCCGGACCGGGGCACGAACCCGCGTCCCCTGCATCGGCAGGCGGACTCCCAACCACTGCGCCACCAGGGAAGCCCCAGCGCCTAAATCTTAAGTAACTGTTTTCATAGATGGCTGAACACCTAGTTAAAACTATATTTTCACGCACATATTTAAACCCATGAAAATAAAGGTATAAATAACATCTGCATTTCCTTACCTTCTATTGCTGAGAGGAGAACTCGGGAATGATCATATGCGATTACATTTGCATATCTGTTCTTTGGTTTGTTTACTTCCAAGTTTGAATGTTCCCATGTGAACTGCTGGCCAGGGTCAATTGACTTTAAAAGAAAAACAGCACACATACATAAAATCAATACTGAATAACATCAGATTATAGGCATTTATCACAAGTAACAAACGATTTAAAAAGAAAATTCTGAAGCTACACTTCATCAAGACGACCCTAGCTGTGAAGCCGAACACTAATATAACCAGCATAAGATGAAATGATTAATCATAGGAAAAAACAGTGATAGTCACCAACACTGATTCAAATGGAAAAAAGAAATCAATATAGGTGTTCTGTTAATAGTGGAAAGGCAGGTTGGTTGTTTTTTTTTTCACTTTTCCATTTCCTTCTCTGCTGCTGTAGTTTACAAGTTATCTTGGTTCAATATTCCTTCCAGTTCTCTAGTTCTGTGAACATTATTTTATCTTGCTTACCCTTTCCTATGTGGACCTAACCTCGTTCTTTAAAGTTGACTGATCATTCACTGGATTCACTAGGCACAGGCTCTTCTTTCTTCACCTGCAGGCTTACATCTTGAGGGCAACTTAAAATTTTGTCTGTTTCTCCAAAACATACTATGACCACTATCACAAGGCAATTTGTACAATTCAAACAGTTAAGAATAACAGTAAAGAAGGGAGGTCAGTTAAATCAAATAATCTTCTTAGAATATTAATTTATAATCTAATGCAGATAGGATCTAATCGCTTCTTAAGTTATCATTATGTGTTATCATATTTACAAAGTTTGCTTTTTATTCTTTTTTTTAAACTTACTTTTTCTGATTTTTAATGTCTTTCCTTGATGCCTTAGTTCAACCAAAGTTGTTCAATAATCTAAAATAAATATTTCACAGATATAAAATAATATATAAAGTTCTTTGTGGTTAAAGCAGAACCATTATTTTGAGACTGAATTCAGGCTTTGATATAAAACTCTGGGGAACTTTTTAATGTCCTGCAATGTTATGGAAATCAAAATACTTTTTCTTTCATCATAGCATACTGACATTTTTTAAGACATAATTTCATGGTATATGGAAATATGAGTTCAGTAATTATAGAAACATGATTTTCAATGATCAAAATCAAGTTTTCAGACATAATTAATGATAAATTAGGTTTATATACAGATGAAATTCTTTAAAAAGTAAAAACACTTTGTTATGTTCATAAAATTTTTAACAGTTATTTTTGATACCGGATATTTTCCACGCTTTTATGTGGATATGTAGAACCTGAAATTAAAATATATCCAACAGCTGTTACAATATTACGGATGCACACATTTGTGTTAAAATGGATAGAGTTCAGCACGGTAATAAAACTCACAAGTGTAATGAGTCAAGCCTGTTAACAGTCATGAATAAGCCTCCAAACATACAAAAATTCTCAGCAGTATAGATTGCAGCTTCTAATTTACTAAGGATTATAAAACCCTTTTTCCTTTCTTAGCCTATGCTAATCTGTATATAAACTAGTCAATCATTGAACTGTACTCAGCAAAATAATTATCCACGTCTTAGAGTCTAAAGAATAATGTAATTAGGGGTCTTTCTAGTTTGCTTTTCCAGGGAAGCTCATCACCTCCTTTGCAGAATGTACTCCTCTCCAAGTATGCCATGAGCTAAAGGGAGTTGGCAGCATTCAGATGCCTGGGTGGCAGCGCTCAAGTCAACCTTGAGCCTTCTCCACACAAAGCAGCTCCATTCAGTGACCAAGGCTGCCTTAAAAAATTCTCAAATCTATCATTCCCTAAATCCCAGTCCTTCAGTATCTGATGTCTGATTGGAATCCCTTCTCTAAACTCTCACTCCAATCCATTCTTCATACCAAAGCAGACATTCTACAGCACAGCCCTTTATAGGTTAGGACCCTGTTTAAGAACTTCCACTGGCTCTGGGTGACCTTCAGCTTAAATTCTGGAGTCCTTAGCCACCATCCTACCTAGACACCTTTAGTCGTCTTTGCATCTACAAAGGCTTCAATAAATGGTTTAACAAATGTTTTTTAAATGAATTGAACTGATGAATAACTGTTGCTGAGAAAAGTCCATAAAGAGAAATCATGGAGTAATTCCTTCTTTTAACATGGGAGTTAGAGAACAGACTATGGAAACTGCAATGTGCAGTGCATTACTAGTTTAATACTTTAACATTCATTATCATATGGCTTAGTAATTAAGTACGTGATCCTGAAAGTACAACTACCACTGATAATCCACTTTACACTGATGAGCATTCCTGAGTACATAAGCTTCCTACACATCATTCTCTAAAATATCCCAAGAAGCTCCTAAGCTCACTGATATACAGTCACTCCTTTGGTGGAAGACCTTACTCCCTCTGATGGCCTTGTTCCTCAGATTTCGATCACTCATATATGTGTAAATGGCATGCATTTAATTAGACTAATGAAACTGCATCTACCAACTCACAGACACTGTGAACTCATGTTCATTTCCACTCTTGCCACACATTTGCAGCCGTCTGCGTGCTGTATTTGATATCTACATAGAAGAGTTTAAAAACCAGTAATGGAAACATAAGCTTGTATATCACATATGTTAATATGTTTAGGCTTAAAGTGTGACCCGAGAGATAAAGACCTGTAGGTAATCGGATAATGATAATAATAGCTGCCAGGTCATTGTGCTTTACATGCAGTATCCTGTTTAATTTTCACAAATGTTATGAGGTAGGTATTGTTTTCTTCCATTTTGTAGACAAGGAAACTGAAGTAAAGAAAGACTAATTCAATAAATTTTACTGAGGGACTTCTCTGTGGCAGGCATTTTGGTGGTTAAGTAATTTGCTCATACAGCTAGATTCATACATTTACCCTCAAACCCAGGTTTGGGTGATTTCAAAGCTCACTGATGATTAACAGCTGGTAATTACTAAGCCCCGGTGCTACTGCACTATCCAGAAAGCCACTGCAAAGAAGCCCAACCTATGAAACAGACTTCAACATAACTATCCTTTATCTCATCAGTCCAAATGATATTTCTTTCCAACTGATCATCCTGTGTGTATCACCAGGCCACCCAAGATGGCTGTTCTCATGCTCTCTGTACATCCCCTGCTCGACCACTGTCTGCTTCACCCACACCCTACTCACAGGACTGACCTTCCTACATACTTGCCCCAGGCCCCACCTAGTGATGGTTCTACTCTTTAGATCAGAACATCTCCACCTGATAGCTTATCAAAAGGGCGGTGAGGGGCATGCCCCTCTGCTAGTTTCCCTGGTAACCAACAAAGACAACCTGAAGTCAATTCCCTACGTAACTGGTAACCTCCCCTCCCCCGACAGCCCCCTCGTCACGAAGCCTGCCGCCCTGTTCCGCCCGCTGCTGTCTGCTGTCTGATCTTGGTGGGATGTTGCTCCAGGACCTCGCTTCAGACCTGTAAGCTCCCCCATTCATAAAACCACTGACGTCTCTGTCGCCGACTCCGGGCTCTTTCTTCAGTCTTGAAGCTGGGCAAGCACAGGCCTGGCAGGCCCACGGGGGTGCAGCCCAGCAACTGGCGGAGTGGCCAGGAGACTGAGGAAACTCCCGTGAGCGCCGAGATGTCGGGAAGGAAGGACGGGGAATGGCAAGTTGTAGGGGCCGTCCACTGTCAAGTGGGGCCTGAAAGTTACGGCTGTGATCGCGGGGTGGCCGGCCAGTAATGTGGGACCCAAAAGTTGTGGGGAAAATCCTGAAAGTTGCGGCAGAGATCCCCGGGGGGCCGTCCACTAGTACGCGGGGGCCCGGCAGTGGCTGCCTTGATGAATGGGGCCCACCGAGAGAGTTCACAGAACTTTCACAGACACCCCAAGGCTCTTGTGGAGATAGCGGCCACCGTTAGACTGGGAAAACAGTGGCCGCAGCTCGCGGCTGGCTGTTACTTTTTGTATTAAGAAAGGCAAAGAGGCTGAGCTGACAGCTGAGGCGAAGGTTAACTTGAATGTTGATTCATGTTCCTCTGAAAGCGAGCCATGTGAATGTGAGTGAATGATATGTATTACTATCACTGGTATTTGTTTAAAGTGAATTGGCTATTTAGAAACTGAAAAAAAATCCGTGGAAATGTCCAAGATGGGACTCTTTTGACATTCTAAAACTGTTTTTTTGCATATGCCCTAAGAGGAAGTTAGCTTTCTAGAGGGAATTGGTATTTCTCTTCTTGTGCCTTTGAGATGTAAATGATCTACCTGGGTTCTCTGGAACTTTAATCATCTGGTCTCTGAGAGTGAAGAAAAAAAACAAAGAGGCCTTTTTAAACTCTAGCAGGAAAACTGTGAAATCTCTTTGTTTGTAGAGATACATGTCTATGTGTACCTTGGAAATATGTCTCTGCCTCTAAATGGCATGGCCAAGATTGGTTTGTGGATGAGCTGTTTAATTGGATTAAGAGAAACTAAGTGCTTATATAAATTCATTGATATCTCTGTGGCTGACTCTGGGCTCCTTCTTCCGTCTTGGAGCTGGGCAAGTACAGGCCTTGTAGGCCTAAGGGGTGCAGCCCAACACTGTGTCATTCTGGGGCAATTACATAAGAAATCAAGATTTAAAAATGAGGTTGGCTTCACATGGATGATAAAACAGATGGGATGCAGCTTGCATTTATACTCCTTTTACACGGATCAAACAAACACTGATTAAATAATGCTGGCTTGTCTTTGTGCAACACATATCCATCCATCTGTATCTATCTGTCTGACTGAATGTTTAACAATACACAGCATAGGTCATTATTTTGGAGCTTGTCAGAATGCTGAGAGCAGTAAACTCAGTAAAGGAGAATAACTACTGAAAGTAGATGAGGTATAAGAAGATCTTTTACATTAAAACAAACTGGTTGAGGAAAATCAAATTTCAATTATCCATGTTAATGAGGCAAAGATATCATGGATGAATAAGACCCTAATATTCAAAACCCAATGTTTAGGCTTTTCTTAATGCTAATGAAGACACTGTTGCTTTGCTTCTTTGTTTTCTGGCTTCTCTTGTTGAGAGGTTTTTTTTTCTTTCGGGTATGCGTACCTCTCACCGCTGTGGCCT